TCTCCTGTGGCTGCGTCAGTGGACGTTACCGCCATGTCGACGTGCATGGGATATTGAAACTCGAGGTCCTTCAATGGACTTTGCGAAGCAGTGTCTGAAATATGATGCCATAATGTCATTGATGACTGTATATTATTGTTCTTGATGCCTTGAGGAAGACTCGTAGTGTTGAAGACATAGACGTAAGTCTGGAGTCGAGGTTTCTGCACAAGACATCAATGCCACAGTCCAAGATGCCAGGTCTCCGAAATGGGTATCACGGTGCCATGTAATTCCCGCGATGTTTATGATGCGGACAGACGTAGAGATGAAAGGTGAGGGGGAGAAGAGGAAGAAACAGAACTCGAGACCGTCCTTCTCACCTATATTTTAGCTATTCGTCAACATAATGTCATAAAATACAACCCTATTGTCAGAAAATCAATAAAAAAGTAATCGGGACCGAGCATCCTGGATTTCATGTGGTTAGAATATGCTAATGCGGGGAAAACCGAGTCGTTTATACTCATGGTATGTGGAACAAATCCTCATACTTAATACCATTTTACAACGTAGCACTATATTTGCAAAGCAAATAGAAATTTGACCGCAACTCGTGTTTTTACGGTATTAATTTACGACTGACATTTAGTTTACATGTATCGCCATGGGCGCCTTTTAATATTCAATTTCTGTACATACATAAATATATATAAAAATATATAAACCGAGCGCAAAGCCCCTCAATCAAATACAGTTTAAAACATAAGTTTAAAACAAACTCGACTCATGCTGTTGAGCTTGATTTCAACGATGAGCGTCAGCGTATCTCGGTCAGAATTATATTCAAACCATTCTGATATTTCTCTCACTACTTTCAGAAAATATCAAGCTACCTTCCCATCTATACAATGCACGTGAAACTGGGTGAAAACCTTGAAACTCGTTTATGGAATCTACCGACCCGATGGAAACTTTTTGGGAACATTTTCTTCTGGTTGTAGGGCAGCTGTTACGAAGTTTTTCGAACCATAAAATAAGATTTCCTGTCTGTTTCTTACTCATTAGATCTCTACCGCCCCCCCTCCTTTCTCTCCCCATATCCCTTCCGTCTTCATACCGAGATCTGTGTTGTAGTGGCTAGGCGTTTCACCATTGCACGCAGAAGATGTGACTTTGATTCTCGTGTGGGGATATTTTATAAATCAAACATCTGGTCTGTCTGCTTAGATGTATCTTTCTCGAAAGCCCAGGCAGGCCCTGACAAGCAGGGTCGAGGCAGCCCGCCTTCTAGATGACCTAAAATGTGTCAATAGGGATGTGAACAACTTGCAATTATAAATTATATCCCCCTTTATGTTCTTTAACGCAGTTATTGTACCTTCTCCTGAAATGCCGAGATCTTTCTGGAAATAGAACAGGAAGATAGAAGAAATACAGAGAACAATATACTGAAGTAAAACACGACAAAATATATATCTCAAATCCACGTAAACGCGTAGTGAATGTGGCTCGGCGGTATACAGTGGTAAAATAAAAGCGTTAACATGTAACAATCGTTAACAAGCGTTAACAATAAAAGCGTTAATGTATGCAAAGGTTGGTTGTCTACTCCCAAAGAACTGGTTACTGGTTACCCAATGGAGCTCCCCCAACCCTCACCACTACGGGAGAAAAGTGTTCTTTTCATTCGCTTCTCAGTCACCTACCTTCTTCTGAGTATCGCAATATATCTTTCAAAGCTTTAACTTGTTCCTTTTCAAATGCATTCAAAGCTAGCCACGACCACAGCCCCTCCCCTCGTTTTTCCACCCTCCCCCCTCTCCGAAAAAAAACCCCCAGTATCTTTTTCAAACATACACCATATTCCTTTAACGAAAGCCATTCTCTGCTGCGTTCACCATTAATTCTGCTTCACATTTAACACAATATTCGTAACACAATTTCAACTGATACCTTCATCCAAGCCCCACTTGGTGTCTGAAGCGCCCCCCTCCTCCCACCTTCTTTCTCTCCCTTTCCAAACCTCCACGTTTTACCCTTATTCTAAAAATCAAGTGCCTGGAACTGCGTTCATGAAATTATACACTGAGCAAAAAAGACAGCACCAGAACTTCATTCAGTGTTCTGCGCATGACAACAAAAGTGGGACACACACGAACGTCTATTGATGTTCTGCCTTTGAGATGCAACCAGGCACAGTAACAAACGTCAATGCAAAATCGCTTTAAACACAGGCTAGAAGGCAGCACAGAGGATGCTACAACAATTTTGCCACCCGTTTTGGGAATCGAGAGCGATTTGGTGAGAAATTTCAAGAATAGAACACCACAGTTGAAGGACACCGAGGGAAAAGGAAGGCCTTTGTTCTGGCAACATCCACATTATTATAATATCTAATCTATACTGCACCGTTTGGAGCAAGGGAAAAGTGTTGTTTTTTGTGCAGAAATGCGTAAAGCATTGATGAGTTTACGTAGCTGAGAACGTCACAGCTAGCTTTTTGATGACAAAGTGTTTTGGCAGATGCAAATGTTTTTGGCTTACAATGTTCGATCCTGAGCAGATCCTTTTTGAAATGCGAGTTTTTGGGTGTAAAAATTCTGACATGCACACGACATGCAAAGAAAATTGTTGTACCTACATCTAACAACATGTTGAATGCTCTTAACTAATCAATGAGGGGCTTTATTTTTAGTCTGGTGTACTAAGAAAAACTATTATTATACAGTCTGTGCACTAGTGTCACGATGACAGGACATGTATAGTTAAGATATAACCCAACGCATTGTCATTGTTTATAGGGTTTATTTCAAACCCTTTCGAGCATTTAAGTCTACGTTAAGTGTCATACTGCAAATGATTTACAATTCTCAAACTATGCTATGTATGCGATACGATTGGCATAATATTGCAAGTCAGAAACACATCGTCTATAAATAAACAGAAGCGGGAATGCTACGAATTCAATTATATGCACCCATGTGCTTATACTGCATTTATTCTTCCGTACATGTTGAGTAACCATTAAGGAATTGTTCGACTTCCCCAAATCTTTTTCTCAGGTATTGCAGACTACAGGATGGGACAATGTTTTTTTTTTGGTCAAAGATTACACATGTACACACACAAACATACACACAAACATACCCACACACTCACACACGGACACACACACAAACACATCTGAACAAACACACACAGACTCACACACACTCACACACACACACACACACGGACACACACAGACACACACACTCCAGCAGAGAGAACGAGAAAGAGAGAGAGAGAGAGAGAGAAAGAAAGAGAGAGAGAGAGAGAGAGAGAGAGAGAGAGAGAGAGAGAGACAGAGAGACAGAGAGAGTGGGGGTGGGGGTTAGTGAAGGCTGCCATAGGACACGACTTACCATGCCGCACACGAAGAAAACGAAGATGAGGAATACCATAATGTCGGTACATCCTCTGTTCCGTCGAGGGTTGCTCAGCAAACCCTTTTCGTCCTTGGGATCCTGGAAAACATAAAATAAAGACAACCTTTTTAGCCTTTAAAATGCCATTAGAGCCTTTAGTAAGTTTCAAATGATAGTGTTACAAACATAACACATTTTTTATATGAGACAAAGCAAGATAAACTCACATTAGTGCCTATACTCACATGTAATCACTAATTGTCATCCCCATAACCACCTAAAACAGCATTATCCTCAAAAATAGCCTTATCATTAGATATACGGATACATCATTCTCAACCATAACAGCAGCAGCAACAAGAACAATATAACAACAACAACAACAACAACAACAACAACAACAACAACAACAACAACAACAACAACAACCAAAACGACACCACAAACACAGCAGGCCAAACCAATAACAACGGCAGCTTTTGCTTTAATTAATAATGATAAAAACTAAAGGAGAACATTTTGTAGTTAGCCTACATGTATCTTTGTGTGTAATGCCCAAATTTAACCACCCGAAATAAATGATTTAATAAATAATTCATCCACGCCGAAAGGAACAGGAACCGTAGCGGGTACATTTTGTAAGCCCCGCCCAGCCAGGTCAGGTGATCGACAGGCCACGTCAGTACTCGGCAAAAAAACCAGGAACGTGAGCTACAAATATAACAATCGATGCCTATTATCTGGTTAAATGGCGGTGAAATTTTACTGACGTCTTAACATAATGTTGAAGTGCTGTTTCGATTAAAATTTTTGTACACTGCTGAGCGATGAAACCAAAAGATTTTGCACTTGCAGGTTCTGTTCCCAAGTTAAGAGCTTATAGAACGTGATTTCAGATTTACCTCTGGGGCTAAATATTATCAAAATGGTAAAGAGTAGATCCAAAAGTAGATGCTTTTACCGCTCTAAAAATTTTATAATAATCTTACCATTCAACATAAAAAACAAAACAATCTGAAAAACATTAGAACTAATGATGACACGAATCAAAACTTTTTTTTTAACCAGATAGAAATTACAAATTTGATATAGATAAAAAGACTTCGAGATTTTTTGAATGAGAAAACAGTTTTCAATTCCTGGTTTGCCACGACAACGAAAAGATTTGTTAGGTAATTGTTGGCTCTTTTTTAAAATATCAAAGAAAAGAGTAAGAAATCGATTACAAGATTATCACTGCTCAATTATAATTTTAAAGGTGACCACGGTCAAACACGGGCATTTACTCCAAAGAGCACGATAAACTCGTATCTATAGTTGTCAGCTCGCTGTCCGTTTGATAGCTGAGAAAATGGATGGAGGGGGCCATCTGCAAGCTTGGTGTTTGATATCTGGATGTTCTGACAAGTATCACCTTCGCTCAAATGTACGAAGTGCATTAGTAGCTTGAGACAAACCAGGTGAGATCAGCTTCACAAGAGAGGCTTGTCGACAGTCTGAGAGCTAACAGACGAGTGAGTTCTGGTGGGTGGGTCCGGTTTCGATGGAGAAAGGGCAGATTGAATTCTTGACGGAAGGGAGGGTGGGGCTTTGGTGGTAGGGGAGGGAAAACGGGTGAGTCAGGGAGAGGAAAGAGAGGGACAGGGACAGAGAGACAGAGAGACAGAGAGACACATAGATTGAGAGAGAGAGAAAAACAGAGAGAAGGACACTAAGAGAGAAAGAGAGCGTATGTGTGTGAGGTGGG